TCCTACTTCTCCTCCTCCTTCTCCTCCTTCTCCTTCTCCTCCTCCTCCTCTTCCTCCTCCTCCTTCTTCTTCCTAAGAAATTTTCTATTAATTTTACATACTAACAACCCCCCTCTCATCCCTCCTCCATTCCCCATCCTTCCCCCCCCCAACCTAACCCCCATTTCTACTTCCTCCAAGGCAATGCCTCCCATGGGGAGTCAGCAGAGCCTGGTAATTTCAGTTGAGGCTGGTCCAGGCCCCTCCTCTCGGCACCAAGGCTGTTTAAGGTGTCCCGCCATAGGCATTGGGCTCCAGAAAGCCCACTCATGCACCAGGGACAGATCCTGATCTCATTGCTAGGGGGCACCTTAAACAGTTCATGCTAAACAACTGTCTGGCCTGTGCAGGGGCCCTAGTCCAGTCCCATGGGGGCTCCACAGCTCTTGGTCCATAGTTCATGAGTTCTCTCTAGTTTGGTTTGGTTGTCTCTGTACATTTCCTCATCATGATCTTGATGTTCCTTGCTCATAGAATCCCTGGACTCTTGGAGCTTGCCCTGATGCTTGGCTCTGGATCTCTGCAGCTGCTTCCATCAGTTATTGGATGAAGGCTCCCCAGTTTGTTCATGGAGATCTCATCTATTTCTCATTTGCAGGGTGATCCATACGTCCCTCTTAGGGTCCTGCTTGTTAGATAGCTTCTCTGGAGTTGTGGGTTGTAGTCTGGTTATCCTTTGATTTACATCTAATAGATACTTACGAGTGAGCACATACCATATTTGTCCTTTTGAGTCTGGGCTATCTCACTCAGGATGATATTTTCTAGTTTCATCCATTTGCCTACAAACCTCATGATGTCATTGTTTTTTACTGCTGAGTACTACTCCATTGTGTATATATACCACATTTTCTTTATCCATTTTTTGATTTAGGGTCATCTAGATTGTTTGCAGGTTCTGGCTAACACGAATAATGCTGCTATGAACATAACTGAGGGTGTGTCATTATGGTATGACTAAGCACCACTTGGGTATATGTCCAAGAGTGGTTGGGTCTTGAGGTAGATCGATTTGCACAGTTCAATGTTGATATTGAAGAATGACATTGAGTTGGGGTATGTGATCTTTACAGTCCTCTGAAAGTTTTACGGTTAACTGAAACTTAAAAGCTGGTGAGGATGTTAGCTCATAATGTCATAACAAAATACCATAAGCTAGGGAACTTAAACACTTATATTTCACAATTCTGGAGACCCAGAAGACCAAGTTCAAAGTGCCAGTAATATAGGTTGTGTTCAGAATCTCTGTCTTTGGCTCATAACCAGACACATCTTTACTGGCTGCTCATGGATAAAAACACAGAGGAACTAATTGTATTAATCAGGATTCTATAAAGGAATAGAAATAATAGAATTAATATATATATATATATCATATATATACACACATACGTGTGTGTGTGTGTGTGTGTGTGTGTGTGTGTGTGTGTGTATGTAGGTGTCAGTCATAAGATTGGATATCTCAGCAGTCTCAGTCTGGTGCTGGAGTCCCAAAAATTCCTAGAGAGTTGCTGGTTTTCAGTCTATGTGAGAATCCTGAAGAAGTGGGTTTTAGCACCAGTGAAGGAGTACCTCAGCAAGAGGATTGACGAATCTCTCCAGTGAGTGAGGGCAAGCAGGGAAAACAGCATCTTCCTTCTTCCATGTCCCTTTATGTATGCTGTCACCAGAAGGTGGGACCTAGATTGAGGGTGGGTTTTCTCACCTCATACAATCTAGTCAAGCAGATTCCTCACAGATATGTCCAGATGCTTGGGTTTTAGCTGACTTCAGATACACTCACATGGGCAGCCAAGACTAGCCATCACAGCAACTATCTCGTGTCCCCAGTTTAAGGGACCTAACAGTTGTGGAACACTGCTCTCAATGACCTCATCTAATTATCCCCCTCCCAAATCCTCATTTTCCAAGTATCAACACTTTGAGCAATTATGACTTAGTCATAATTTACCAGTATGTTTTGAAAATCGGAAGTTTTAAATTTTAATGAAATTCAAAGTAATTGTTTTTCTTTTAGGTTCCCTCCTTTGTGTGTGTGACAATTTAAAAAAAAACTTCCTTTAATCCAGGTTCATACAGACCTTTTCATGTGTTTTACCTGGAAATGTCATAGTTTACATTTTTATACCTAGGTGTCTATTAACCACATTGGTAAATTGCTATTATATAAGGTATATGGGCTAACATGTATGCTGCCCCTCTTTAGAAACGTTCTCATTTACAGACCACCTGAGGATGGTCTTGATTTATTATGGACTGGAGATGGCCATTAACTTCTAAGCCTCCTATCTCTACCACCAGAATGCAGGGAAGAGAGGGATGCTCCACCATGCCCAGGTCATGCCATGCCATTGTGCCCAGCTTTCTAAGAAAGCCCTCTATGAACTGTAGGTGGATTTTTAATGGGACTATTGGCTCTCCAATCATAACTTGAAATTAACTAATTTCTATTAATTTCCTTTTTGCATCTTTTGCATCGTGGCTTTATTACCTTATATCCATATTGCCCATCCTGCTTGCTCTGTGTCTCCTGTCATCTTCGCCTTCTTCTTCCCAGCATCCTCTGTGCTCCAAAAGTCCTGCCTAGCTATTGGCCATTCAGCTTTTTATTAAACCAATCAGAGTGACACATCTTTACAGTGTACAAAAAGATGATTCCATAACAACGAACTGAAATATATTTCTCAGACCTTCAACATTAACTTCTTAAAGATTATAAACATCATTTTCATTTTTTAAAGATTTTGAAGAATAAAATCAGAAACTTGGACCTTTCTTTCTGAACTCATTGTGAGATAACAATTATTTTTGTCATAGATTTGAATAAACACATATTTTTATTGAATAAACAGCAGCATATAACATTATCTGATTTATTTCACATCTATAATTACACAGATACATTGGTATTGTGTATATTTTGTACAGTCTTCATACTTTACCTTTTAGGAAAGCAACCAACCCAAACTAACAGAGAAGGCAAAGCCAGCTGTAAGAAGGCTATGAAGAAATGCCATCTCAACATGCTTCCATCCAGTCCAGTATCTCTGAGATACGGAATGAGGGAAAAGGTTTTCTAACTCACAACTCTAAGTTGCTGGTGCCAAGCTCTCAATGGAACTCCCTTGAATTTAAATGTGTTCAGTAGAAATATGTGAAAAATTGCTTTCACTAGTTCCCAGGGCAAGATGTTGGAATTTGTAAAACATGGTCAGATTGCTTTAATACACATTGTAAAAATAAACTATTTGATAAAAGACACTTTTAAAAATAGTTCCCATGTCTTTGGGGAAAATGCTTTTATTGTGTGTTAAGGACTCACTGAAAGACAGGAAGCAAAGTGTGAGAATTCAGGGGCTGGAGCTGAGCAGGATGATAGCAAGACCTTTAAGGAAGGCTGCCTTAAAAGATAGTTAACATCCTAGAAATTTGTAAAATAACAAAAATCTCCAACTGAAGTTACTAACTGTAATGCTGACACAAAGTTACCAGGTGCAGGAATAAATCCAAGGATGATTTCTCAGTTATTCGAATGGAAAAATCCCAAATATGAACTTTCTAGAACATACCAGTAAGAGATCTACTGAAAGAAAGAAAAAGCCCAAGTGTGGAAGGGATTGCTTGAGACTGTTCCCCTGAGCACCAGCAGCCTACCTCACAAAGAGCCCTGGAAACAAACCAGAAGACATCGTCCTATGATTGCATAAGAACTGGAATTTTCTGTATCTCCTGACCACCAATCCTCAGACAAGAAAGACCTAGAAGAATCCCAGACAAGAATAAGTACAATGATCAAGGGGTTTCTATATGAACATCAGGTAAAGGCATTCAATGCTTTAGGCTAAAAATCACAAAAGCTAAAAGGGACTGTGATCAAAGTCTTATTGTCAAGTCTATGGTGACGTGGAATAAGGACCTGTTCGTAAGATTATGTAAGGAGTGTGGAGCTTGTTGTATGTTACATGGCTTTAAAACTTGCATCACAGAAATGCAGGGCATTTAGAGAGTGAATTTTCTTTAGTGGGTGACTTAGGCTGAATGAATAGGTATTTTTCTGGGATTGTTAGAATTATGGATGGCTATTAGAATTACAAAGGGAGGGTTCACATAGTATATTTCAACATGAAGAAATTGGGTGTACAGGTCTTAGGGACCTTAGCAAATTGCCTGAGGTGAGGAATATTTGGGATTTGTGGATATTTCTTTATTTAGGGGGATGTATCAGGAATATTTCATATTCAAAATATTCATCTTGGGGATGTGGTTCAAGTTCAAATGTTATATTCATTCATGTTTAGCATCTGTCTTATGTACAGACACATCATCGTTCATTTGTGTTCACACAGCATCCACAAATGTGCTGTGGGATATTTTTAGTATGCCTGCGTTTTGACATCAATGGGTCACCTAGGTCAGGTATGGAAATTCTGACTTGTGGCGTCAGGTTAGGCAAACATTTTGCCCTTCACATTTTCAGATTAAAGATACTCCATTTACATTATGTCTTGTAAAGATATAATATATGTCATTTATAGAAGGCTTTGATATAAAGGAGTGAATTTGGGCTTGGGGAACCAGTACAGTGGGAGAATACATGATAGTGAGGAGAGAAGTCTCCATACTGTAAAGGAAAGAGGCAACACTTCATTCTCTGCGGGATTTTCTCCACGCATGATAGTTTTTCTATGTCTTGGTTAATTGTAAATTCTCTACATTATTACAGAATTTTAACATATTATTGTTTCCATGGTAATTACATGGGCTCACCAGAGATCACATGATCATTTCTCTGTTTCTGAGAATTCTAAGTTGTTTTCAAACCAAGTCAAACTGTTCTGTGATATTAAGGAAAACAATGATATTTCTTAAGGAAAAAA